TAAAAAACGTGGGACTTTAGAGATGCAAGGTACACGAAAATGTGGCGTCACAAACGGGACGCGGACATACCACTACCACTACCACTACCACTACCACTACCACTACCACTACCACTACCACTACTACTACTGCTACTACTACTACTACTGCTACCACTACTGCTACTGCTACTGCTACTGCTACTGCAGTCGTCGTCGAAATTGTTGTTGTGATGCTTATGATGATGATGATGATGGTGATCATGATGTTCAGCATCGATGAGTGGTTGTGTTGTTGCTCCCACTGCATTAGAACGATCGCGGGTCATTACCTGCTTGACGCAAAGCGTGTTGATACTTTAACTTGGTAAATGAAAGCGGCTTGACAGGCTGCACATGAGATGATGGAAGACTTGCTGACGAGCCTCCTTCGCAAACATGATTTTGCAGATGGTCTGTGAGCGGACAGTCGGATGAGGCAGATAAGCTTTTGTTCTGAAAAGGGCAGTTCACCAACTGTGAAGATGGGACATCACAGAAGGCAAGCCTGAGACGTTGGCGCCTGCGAGTCTGTTACTCTACCAAAGCACCAGTGCGAGCCATTGCAAACAAGTACCGCTGTTGCAATCCAAGGATCCGCGCTGACCGTGACAGAACCTTGCATGCATTTCGCGCTGTGCCCTTGCAAAGTAGAGAATCTGTATGTACTGTAAGAATGCACAGGCAGCCGAGCGAGGTTGGGGAAGCTACTGTAGTCAGCAATAAGATGGCGCAGCCAATTGCTTGCACAGTTGCTGTGGTCAGCAACCGAGATCGTAAACCCGGTCCCTAAACGCATCCAATCAAATTGCCGCTTTACACATAATTTGTGGTGTCTGCGACTTGCACCCAAGCTCGCAAGTCGACAGGATATTATTTTGGCAATGATGACCTGTTTGCACGGCATCCCGACATTGTGCAGGCAGTTGTGTGGTTATCTTTGGCCTGACGTTCTGTACTGAGGAGTTAGTGCGCTTGAGTTTGAGTTTACCTGCTGGTCAACTAAGACGAAGTGCCCGGGCCTTCCCTGCAGTGACCATGCAGCCCCCTGCAGGTTCTCACAAAAGAGGCGCCCACACTGTTGGAGGTTCTGCTTGACAAGCTGGTGTGGCGATCACGCTTGGTTGTTGGTGGACACAGACGAGTCAATCTTTTTCTCAAACACCTTCTAGTCGATGAGGAGGGCAAATTTGCTGGGGCAACGCAGTGGATCTGCAACATGCAAGATCCGGTGATTGTGACACACTGTGTGCTGGAACTTTGGCACGCAATGAGCACACGATAGCATGAATGACTTTCAGGTTTCGCCTGGCAGTTGATGCTTCGTTGTAACCTTGATCACTGAGGAGACTCTGACGGATTTGGTGTGGAACAACGTGATTTATGGGCCGTTCTTGCGAAGCAAAGTTTGGCTTTTGTTTACGCTTTTGGTCTTCCTGATGAGCCAGTCGATCTTGAAGACCTGGCACGCGGAGGATGAGGCCACACAGCAGACACTGCGCATAGCGATTCTTAGGCTGAGACCCAGAATGCTTTTGTTTTTTTTTGGGTGGTTGTGCTGTGTTCGCGCTGCTTCAGTGCAAGCAGCATGCTCAATCAAGGACTGCTGTTTGTCGGGCTTTCGTATACTTTGCGAGCATGCTGGAGTCTCTTGGCTGTTGTCTCGGAATCACAGCACTGGATTGCAATGTGTCTCATGCTTGTTGGAAGATCGCGCTGAGGTTGATATACTCCCGTACAAAAGTGACGTGCAAGTCTATAGGAGATGGGGACATCATCCGTGTATTCCAGATCCCTGTGCCTGCGAAGGTTGTTTCGGATTCTCACTTGCATGCAATTTGCCTCGCTGTGTCATAGCTTTTTTAGCAGGTATCCAAAATCTCGCTGAAACTTCCTGTGCGGATGCAAACATATGTAGAAGCTGCAGCAAGCGCAGCAGCCGCTGAAGCAGCAGCAGCAGCAGCAGGAGGAAACGCAACCGCAGCCCACAGCCGCACCCGCAGCCGCCAGGCTTACTGACAAAGCAGAAACTGTCCGCGTAGGAAACAGGGATTGTGCAACATTGCGCTTGAGGTTTGTGATGTTCTGTGCCTGTTTCAGCTTGTTCCTGACCTGCGGCAAAAAAGCGAAGGACTGGCAAGAAGCTTTGAGCTGGTTTTTGACGTTGATCCTTATTTCCATGTTCATGGTCGAACCGGTACTGCCTGTCGACTGAACAAGACGATGAACACAATTTGGTGAAGCACGATCCTTGGATCTGTTGTGCCTCCAAGCTGTGCCTGAGGTATTGCCTTCAACACTCGGAGGGCGATTTTCCGGATGCTGGCATGTTCACTCAAAACTGTCGCCTGGCTGGCACATGTGAGGATCTCTCAGACGAAGCTCACATGGGCAACTCCATGCAGTGACAAGAAGATGTAGACAGCACCATGCAGGCGCACCATCAACGTTTGTTCTGTGTCAAGCTGATCGTGTTTGGTGCTCACAGACAGACTCTCCATGACAATATAGTGTTGGCAAGGTTTGAAGCCTGCTGGGGAGGGTGTTGGAGTCTGAATTGCTTCCTGCGTGGACTGGCTCAAGGAAGGAGAGCTGTAGAAATAGCATCAATTCGTGACGCCGTTGCCTCCCATGGCTGAAGTCGAGACAGTGAGAGAAGACACAGCCGATGCATCGGATGATGTCTTTTTTGTGTCCGTGTCCTACAGAGGAACTGCATATGAGGTACCAGCGCTTCAGTGGCAATTGGCTTGTGGAATTCGATGCAATCTTCCTTTGCATTGGGCATCCTCAATCTTGTACAATGACAAGACTTGCACCATGATCATGGTGCAAACGGCTAGGGCGGCCAGAGTGACCGGGTTGAAAGCACAAAAACTGCCACTCTTTCTTAATAGCTTTTGTGGAGCCAAGGTACAGAGCGACGATCAACTTGCATCGATTTTCGATTTCGTGCAGGAAGCACTCGACTTCCCAAGGGAGACCCCCGGCCACAACTTGCACGTCCAAAGTTGCAGTGATTGCAGCTGGTTCAGGTCGCATGCATGTGATCATTTAAGCCTTAGGGGCTTGGAGGACCGTGGTTATCAAAGTTGCGCTTCTGCCACTGGCACCCAAGACTCGACATCACCCTATTAATCTACTGGTGCGACATGCTGTCATGATTATTTCTTTACTTTGGCCCTTGCTTCCATGTCTCGCTTTGGCTGCCTGGCCAAGCATGAGTGTCAGAACTAGTGCCACTGCTGCTGCTGCTGCTTCTGCTTCTGCTACTGCTGTGTCTGCGACCGCTCTTGTGGCTATTGTTACTGCTACTGCTACCGTTCCCTGTTGTGGCTGCTGCTTCTGCTGCCCTTGCTGCCGGTGCAACTGCCGCTGTTACTGCTGCCATGATTAATACCCATGCGGCTACTATGGTTATTATTGTTAATGCTACAGCTGCTGCTACTGCTACA